AAAAAAAAAGTAAATATAAAAACAAGAACACAAATAGAAAGAAAAAAAAAGAAAAAAAAATTGCAAATATGAAATCTAAGTTTTTCAACTAAAATTCTCTTAAAATAAGAAAATTTTGGCTCGCTACCCCTGCAACAGCGCTAAAAGTTTGATACTTGAAATTTTTGCATGCAATCAGCCAATCACGTAAGTATACATGCTGATAAATAGTATATGAATAAAAACTTCATGTATCAATCCCACGAGGAAAATTGTCAAAATATTTCAGATAGGTGAAGGTTTAGGTTACTAAATCTCAAAATCTAGTTTGGTGTGTTAGATGTGTAAGAGTAAGAGCTTTAAAATCTTAAAAGGTGGAAAACTAAACTAAATTTTGTTTAAGTTTTTAAGAGATGAAAGTTTCATATTCCGGTGACATCAGTCATGTGATTTCTCTATGTTTTTCTTATGAAATCCCATATTATTGTTGATAATTATGTACAAGTCTTCCTTACCCTATGTCTAGGTCATAAGTAGTGTTGGAAACTATATTACATTTAAGGGGACTTAACCATGTAGTGTTTTCATGAATCATCTAGTCCTCTATCTAATTTGCTAAGGGTAGTATGTCTATTCCATAGGACTATTGTGTGTGTTAACATACTTATTCTTCTAAGCGATAATTAGAAGTCCTAGATTAAAGATTTTTTAACATTATAACAGGTCAGATTAAAATTATATTAAGACCAGAAAACAAACACATCAACATATGAAGTTTTGCACAGAGAAGACATATATGGAACAAAATTCATGGAATAAAATAGTAAGAAAATCATACGCCTTACATCACATGAGTAAAAAATAAGATTAACTATGATGCATGAAAAAAGAAATCATGAAAACTGTTATGACACACATAAAAAGGAAAATAGTATAAGAAGTACAAAAAATTCAAATTCAAGTCAAATAGTCTATGAAATACATTGTGATCCTCTCCATTTTAGTTTTTTGTAGATCTGCTTCATACAAATGCACTCTATCTCTTCTTATAACATTTCCAAACTCTTAACAAAAAACATGAAAACAAGAAAAATAAGAAAAACTATCTCGAGCAAATCCTATGGAGAAACCTTAGAGCCCCAAAGACACCCCTTAACCTTGAGACAAAGTCCCCAATGTCAAAAGTATATTTTAGGCCTTCAAACATTGTATATTGCTTAGAGCATCAAATCTTCCTCCAAACATGTCAGATTCGTTAAATCACGAAGTTTAGATGGGCGGCGACGTAGTTGTGCACAAAACTTGTGTAATTATGCCACTAGTTGGCGTAATTACATCATCCACTCTGGAGTGTGGTGTAACTATGCCAATTTATGGTGTAATTATGTCATATTTTATGTGATAATTATTCCATATTAGAGCATTTTTTATGCATTTTTGTATTTTAGGCTCATTTCATTTCCTTTACTCCCCAAATAATCAAATCTCTTATATACACTGCAAAGCATAATAAATATACCTTTCAAAAGTGTATAATAATAATAATAATAATAAATATTATTATTATTTTTATTATTATTATTATTATTATTATTATTATAAAATTAGTCATGAAAAATATCACATATTAGATTCACATCAATCAGTCATAATATATGGTGGTACCATAAGTTTTTTTCTTTTGTGTCTACCCTTTTAGCCATCTAGTGAGGCATGTAGGAAACTCATTGAGATTCTATCATTAACTAAAATTAAGGTTTCCATTAGGTGTTTTGCTGTGTTAGCGCAATTCACTCTTTATCTAGGGTGTAAAGTGTTTGGTGCCTAGTCGTTATATAGCACCACCACGGTGCCAACCCCTTTTCACCTAGGGTCCTGGGGAAAACCCCGCAATATTTCTTGAGAAACACTATGGTACTCTTCCTTTGATTCAGAGGCCTTCCATGTGCATCTTCCTTGAATGTTTGAATCATACATTCTACAATTTAATATTCATTGCATGGAGCTTGCCGCATTTGTAATGTTCATTCATTGCATGCCTTGTGTGGGTGTTTACCACCATTGTACTTAAAGTAATAATGGATAGTGCCTCAATGCTACCTTAATGGCACCTTGGTGCTAGCTTTATCTTCTTTTAAGATGGAGGGTCAGTATCACTGGATCATCTATATGAGCTCATGATGTCATCTTTCTGATTTAGGATGATATTCCATTGCATTATATGACCCTCTGTGCATTTAGTCATGAGTTGGTATTTGTTATATGCATTGCTTGTGTGATGCATTTGCTATAATTTTTACAATATTGCTTTTATAATGTGTCTTTAGAATTTTAGTCTCCCAGGAACTTGGTATTGCATATTATGCATTTATATGCACTATTTGGCTCAATTTGTCCAAGTGAGGCACTCTTCTTCCCCAATATAGGCATGGATTGCATGAGTAAGCACATTGGTGGCGGGACTTCAACCAACTCGTAGTATGATCAGTGGTTGTAATAAGAAAATGAACACTTTTTGTTGGTTTATCTAATTAGGTGATGTGAATTATCCTATTGCTACCAAATCATATAAGTTCGTTCCAAGCATTGTCCTGATTTAACATTCATGTCGTGATGAGTGTTAGCTCATTCAGATGTTCGAGACGTGGTCAGTCTGGTGACCCCATCAAGATCTTGCGGGAAAGCCCTTAACTCTTGCGCACTAGGATATTAGAGTGTTTTTCTTAGAGGAAGTTAGGTCCAACATGGAGGAGTTTAATCATTAAATTATACTAATATATTTTTCTACAAGCATTGCTTAACAATCCTCTCAGCGTTTTTGGCTCATTTATATGCTTCTTGCTTTTATCTATAATAATATGTATTTATTTTCTTAGATTTCTCTTATGTACTTTTAGTCCTTAGGAAAGTCGATATGGAAAGAAGGTACGTGCATGAGTCGCTTGATGTGCTAGGACCGTGTGGTAAGAACAAAGAAATATGTTCATATCTTGCATCTTAATTCCAAGTTTATTTATTGTATAGATTTAGGATTGGATATATATTATGAGAAGCCCGATAGCCTTTTTTTCTGTGATATGTCATGGGCCCAACAACACCCAACCATTTATTATTTTGTTTGGTTTGTTTTCTTTTATTGTGCATGGGTATTGCCATTTTTTCCTTTATTTGCTTATGGCTTATTTGGGTACAAACACAATTAGGGCCCCCTGGTAAAATCTTTGCTATAAAATTTTAATATAAAAGATTTACCTCTAACAAAATTTATGATTTTAAAAATCTTCAATCTTCAAGATTTTAAAATTAGAAATTTTATTTCATGTTATTTACTTTACTGCATAAGCTTAGATCATCATTTAAAATGATCATAATTGCATGAATTTTTCTCACTAACTTGCTAATATGACTTCCACACTTAGGATTTGTGCTAGATAATATTGCATGTCCCAATGAAAAGTATTCTCGCTTCTGCAACCTGGGTTACTCTGAGCATATATTTTATATGCTTAAGCAGTTGTATAACATAACTAAGGTCTTAGAAGTTGTCCCAACCAAGATGGGATGTAAGTTTTTTGTGGAATGACTCGACTTTATAGCTAGGTTATTCATTTCTTTTCACTCCATAGGCATCCACGCCATACCCTTGTTGGGTATAAGTCCTACTCTACAATCTTGCAATTAAATTTGATTTATTGTGTGTGAATAATATCATATAAAGTTTGATTTAAAGCTTATGAACAAACTTAATTATTGCTCAATTTAAAAACCATTTATATCCGATTAAATTAAAATTTTATTTTATAATACATAAAGCAAGATAAATATTTGTTTGCTAATTTGTTCAATTTGTTCATTTATCTTACACTTTTATATGCTTATTTTAGTTATTCATTTATGAGCTTATTCATTTAAAAAAATTAACTTTTGTAACTTCAACAAATAACTCATTTATCAAGCTCCATAAATTTTAATCATACTACTTATTAATATATTTGATGGGACTCATTTGATTAGAAAATAAATAACTTAATAACACTAAATGTATGATCACACTTGCGTGTCATCTCAAGTTACTAGGTTTTAAAGTATAGTACTTAAAATGTACAATGTAGAATGAGAGATGAGATTATAATAAATTAGAGGAGGAATTCAAGAAAATATATAATACTAATAAATAAAAATATATAATATTACTATGAACTATATAATCAAATTACTTCTATTTAATTAAATCACAACAAAATATCATATAAGCTAGTATTTAACGAATATAGTCGTTGGAAAAGAAGACGTTTGGCGACCAAATGTTTTGAGGTCGTCTTCGGACATGGAAGAGTAAAACACAAAAATATTATCATTTTAGGATAGAACGAAGGAGTCCCGTTGTTGAAGGAAACTTTTGAAGAAGAAGCTTAAAGGGAGGAAAAAATATTGAGTCTGACAACTGAACAACAGACGCGATACATCAGAAGAAACTGATGAGCCAAAAAAACCTCAAACTGATACATCAGAAGAATCAGAAGAAACTGATGAGCCAAAAAAACCTCAAACCCATTGTAATATTTTCTCAAATGAGCCAAAGAGCAATGAAAAGTTATATTACGAGAAGTTATCTGGACGAAACTTATGACTGAACTCCATAAGTAATATTTTCTCAAATGAGCAAAGAGCAATGAAAAGTTATATTACGAGAAGTTATATAGGAATTAAAGGATTTATTTACATTTCAAGACCTATGTCTGCCCTCCGGCGGCCCCTGCTCCTTCGGTCCTCATGGCCGTTGCCGGCCGTCGACGAAGAACATCTTCTCGCCATTGTTCGCATATTCACCGACAGCCGGCCATCTTCTTCACCTGCGCTCGACTCTATCATCCAACCCCTACTTCTTCGCCTCACCCACCCCTCCTCCCTTCTCCGCGCTCTCTCCCTCCTCCCCTCTCCTTCCTCTGCTCCCCTCCTCTTCCTATCGGCCATCCGCCTCTGCTCCCCACTCGCCGACCACCGCGCCGCCGGAAAGACGCTAAATCTTCTCCTCCGTTCCCGTAACCTCCGCCCCGCTGTTGACTTCCTCCTCTCCCTCCCTCACCCATCTCCTATCCTCCACGATGCCCACTTCAACGCCTTAATCCGCTCCCTCGCCCGAGCTGGCCATCTCCGCCGTGCCCTCGAGCTTTTCCGGCTAATGCCTGCGCGTGGAGTGGCATACTCCGCTTTCTCATTCAACTCCCTTCTTGCAGCTCTCCTCCACCGTGGTCGCACCCGCGCTTCTGTACACTATTTCGACCTCATGATTCGTCTCGGCGTTGCACCCGATCTCGTCACCTTCAACACTCTCATCCGAGGCTTTTGCCTTAATGCAATGCTCCCTGAGGCTTTCAATGTTTTCCACTCAATGCACCGCCACCGGTGCGCTCCCGACGTTGTCACCTACAATATTCTTCTAGATGGGCTCATCCGGGCCGGGGATGCCGATGCTGCTCGTAAGTTGTTTGATGAAATGCAGAAGAGGAGCTCTGAGGTTGTTCCCAATGTCGTTTCGTACACTACCCTTATGCGCGGCTGCTGCAGCCGGTTTATGGTGGACGAGGCCGTTGCGTTATTGGGCAAGATGGTGGATGTTGGATTGAAGCCGAATAAGATGACTTATAATACGCTCATGAAGGGTTTTTGTGAGGCCGGGAAATTGGATTTGATGAAGAGTATTCTTGATAAAAATGTGGGTTTTAAGCCTGACATTTGCACCTTTAATACTCTGATGGCTGCCCACTGCGATGCTGGTAATGTGGAGGATGCGCTCAAGTTGTTTGACGGATTGACTGAACTAGGTATGAGGGCTGATTCTGCTACTTACAGCACTGTTATTAGGGGACTGTGCTCCACTGGGAAGTTTGAGAGGGCAGAGATGTTGGTTGATGAGCTCCATAAGAAGGAGGTTTTCAGGAGGGCTGATTCTTGTCGCCCCTTAATGGCTGCTTATAATCCATTGTTTGAGCATTTGTGCAGCTGCGGGAAGACAGATAAAGCTGGGAAAGTTATTGGGCAGCTGCTTGAGAGAAGAGCTACTGTTGATATTGCTTCATTCAGAACAGTTATCCTAGGATATTGCAGGGAAGGAGCTTTTGTGAAGGGATTCAAGCTTCTGGTTTCAATGGTGATGAGGGACCTGAAGCCGGATTATGAATTGTGTGAAGAATTGGTGAAGGGATTCATATCAAAAGGAAAGATTGGTTTTGCATGGGAGGCTTTGAAGAGGATGTTGCATAGTGGTCACCGACCGAGTACAAATTGTTTTCATTCAGTACTGGCTGGGCTTTTGAAAAAGGATGGTTATGCAAATGAAGCTGCTGATTTGGTTTCTGTGATGTTGGAGAGAAAGATCCGTCAGAGTAGTGATCTTTCAACTGATGTTATTCAGAAGCTTTTCAGAAATGGTTTGAATAAAAAAGCTTTCATGATTATCGGGTTGCTTAATGGCAATGGGTATTGCGTGAAAATGGCGAAGCTAGTCTTTGTTCTTTGTCAAGAGAAGAAATTCTTAGAAGCTCGAGGTCTTTTGTTGTTCGGTTTGGAGAAGAAAGAAAATTTGGATCTTCAATGTATATGCATGGTTGTGAATGGGCTTTGTGAAATTGAGAGAGCTTCAGAAGCTTTTGATTTGTTTTATAATGTGGTTGATGAGTATGGTTCAAGTGGTATTTCTAGCTGCATGGACTTTTTAATGCTTACTCTTGAGGGAGCTGGAATGTTGAAAGAAGCAGAGTTTGTCTCTAAGCAATTCATGAAAACAAATGTTGGAGAGAAACCCAACATCAGTTGAGACTTGCCACAACTTGTTGATCCATTGCTACAAAATGTTGCCTTGGATAACTTGATAGAAATTTTCTTATTGCTTGAAGCTAAGGAAAACTGAAGGGGGTAATAGAATGTTTGAACATTCATCCAAATAGATGCATGCCCATAAACAAATTTGAATTTGATTTGTTTCTGAGCAGAACAGGTTAAAAGATTATACTTCATCAACTATTGGTTAATTGTGAAGTCATGTTGTTCGGATATGAATCATGGAAAAATGTCTTCTCCCTGGCACAACCAATGGCTTATATGGTAATGGCAACTAGAAGTGAACTTCAAATTTTGTAAGTGGCATTTTCAGAGATAAAATTCTTATTTATTAATATATCTAACACGTAAAGTTTGATATTTATATGCATACCACTCCAATCTTTAACATCACATCAAAAATACCACAATCACTATTTTTGCAAAGTGAAATACACCTTTTCATGCATAAGTTTATGATACCAAGGTGGTATAAGGGTAAATGTCAAACTTTGTGTGTTAGATATGTATATACATAAGATTTATGTGGTATGTATGTAAATTTCTCTATTATTAAATCCTAGTGTTCCAAGATTGTTCTAAATATGCAAACCTCTCCAGTTTAAAGGAAATCACAAATGGCGTGGTGCCTAAAGGCTTCATTAGAAATTGAAGCCAGTGACTTTGATATCTTATGCTTGTCATATCTTTTGAAAGGCGAGGTCACTCAACTTTTGTTTCGTTTGTAATCTGTAATTTGTTTTCTTGAAAAACTTTATGCTGATTTCTAAGCCCATGTCTGACTTTTTTAGCAGGCAATCTAATCAAGTGAAGGCTTGAAGTGGCTTCAGTGACCAACTTTTGAGTTTTTTGCTTATCCTGTTAAATGTAATGAAGATTTTTGACAAAGATGGAACGCACACTGATAGATATGATGGTGAAATAATTCCGAGGAAGGGAAAGTGGAATGATAAAATTGGCTTCAAAAGTGGTACAAAAATGCATCATTTAGATCCTTCAATTCTATTTTTATATTCTTTTGTACATTTAATCTACTTTTTTTGTTGCATGATATGGGACCTCAGTTTGTTTGTTTTTTACCAGACTTAGTGAGCCTGCTGGGCAATTCATTGGGAATGCATCTGGCTTATGGGAAGAGTAAAAGGAAATTGAAAATTGAATGACTATTGGCTTGATGATTTATCACCAACAAAAGTTCATACCTATCTCAGCCCATTTTCATTTCCCCATCATCCAAACATGGTATTAGATTAAACCTTGGAGTATTATGTGTTTGTGTTTCTTTATTTATTTATTAAACATTGAAGTATTGTGTTAATTTCACTTTTGAACTGGGCTTTCTAACTATTTGTATGTTCTGCAGATCAGCAAATTGTCATGTTGCTGTGGTTATTTAGTTTCTATTATAATATTTTTTTTTTTCAATTTTGGAGTAAATCTGTATATATTCTTTTTGCAATTCAGTAGGAATGATATGATAAAATTCTTACAAAAGAAAATTCTTCTCTTAAGAAAATGATATTTTGTTCATGGTATTAGAGCATGGTTCTTTGCGATAATACAAAGTTTGCTAGAGGTCTCAACACACCATGAAGGCTCGGTGGCTGCGGAACTCTCCTTGATGAAAAAATGTCCTTCAGTGGTGCTAGTCATGGATCAAAGTTTCATCCCATGTATGAAAGTCAATCTTTTCAAACCACTCAACACTAGTTTAATAGAACTAACTTTTTGTGATTGGCTCCAAGCAGCTAATTTTATGATAAAAGAGATAGGAAAGGCTGAATATTTGAAGATGCATCAAATTATAGTTCTTGGGGAGCTGAGAATTTATTGCCATGACTTGGATCATAAATTTCATGGAGACATAAACTGAAAGAATTTATTTTTTCTACAAAACTGCAATGGAAATATTAGATGTTGTCCAAACAATCTGCTTTGATTTTGATACTGTAACCCAATACATTGAGATTATATCCAAAATCATAATTACTTAATCAGATAGCAACACTGTCATCAAATATTGCAACTCTTTGATTGAATTTTGGTAGGAAAGATATCTACTTTATGAAATAGAATGAATTTATTTGAGACTTGCAGAAAGGTATTGAAATATGTTGAGAGAAAGAATGGTTATTTGATTTTCTCCAAATTAGAAAATTGAGGGTCTAAAATTCATAGAGGGTGAGCCAAACGATTTGTCTTTGCAAACATGAATTCAACCAAGCCTTCTAGTTTTATATATGAATAAATGGAGTTGCTGCTTGTGAAGACAAGTTGAAGTTAGAAATCTTGCATATTGAGTCTATTGTGCTCAAGCTTGGTCCTGGGTCGCCGCTCACCAAAGGGTACCATAAGATCTCAAAATTGTCAAAGGGAAATTAATCGAGCAAGCCTTACAAAAACTTCGAGCAGACATCAAGCAATTGTCAGAAGAGAGAGAGAGAGAGAGAGAGAGAAACTTTGTTAACAATGTGGAAGAAGACATTTCAGAATTCATGGAGGAAGACCATGCCAAGATCCATGTTGTGGAGATTCAGGCTTTGTCGTCATGGTGAGAAGTTCCACCAGCTATTGAAGAAAGCGCCCCTGAAACTCTATAGAGTTATTCAATAGACGAAGCTTGTTAATGGGGGCTAAAAAATAGGTTATAGTATTATTGAAGCTTTTCATTTTAACATGGATCAATATAAAACTTGAAGTTGACTTCTTCATAACAAGGTAGGATAATAAGACATAAATAACCAAGGATCAAGTATATCTAAATTGTCATCCAATAGCATAAAAATGATCTTTGCACACATGCTTTATGTAATATTGGCAAGCTACTGTTCATGTTGATGAATTACACGAGCACATCATTTCAACAATACAATTTTTAAGAATGTGGAGATGAATCCTTACTTATTTTATTATTGAACTGGGGGTTGAATTTTTTGTTTGGTCTATTGCACCAGTTTTGTTACTTCTTTAAAATTTTTATTCTGAACAATCCAAAATTCTTGAGTTACTACCAATCTAAGTGTAACATAAATGCATGGTTGAGCAATGAAATAAAATTTTTAATAGCTCTTCCATCAAAATTTGATTAGTTTAATTAACTAGTACTTTGTTTACTTTTTAAAAGTTAATGAATTGAATCAAATTATTTTTAGCATATTTATATCAGCATTAATCATTAATCCTCGGCAACCATAGATTTGGGCCTTTTATAGATGTGATAAGATTTATAGAGGCACATGCAATTGAAATTCAACTTTGATGTGTTATAAATATCAAATTTATTGTCTGCTCTGTCACAACTATTGTGCTTATGCACACCCTATTTAAGAACATTGTAGATCCTTTGATTTAATATAAAACTTTTGATTCTATAAACTTTATGCAATGATGTAATGCTTCTTAGTTTGGCATGTTATAACTATTATATTATGCTCTATCATGTCTGCTGGTGTGATTACACTATAATGTTAATTTTATTTAAATTTTGCTGAAAACTGTTATGAGACATATTTGATATGATTGAATCATAGTTGAACTTTATACATACTTTATTCAGATCCAATCATAATTAAATATTATAATTGCCTTTATGATTTTACTTGTGAAGCCATTTGCCCAAAAATCAAACGTCACAGATCAATAATAAAATTTTCAAAAATTTAACCGGAAAATGGCTTCACAAGTGCATAACACTGAGTAAAATCAAGCCATGTTCTATGATAAGAAGTTTGTAAAAAACAAATAGTAATAAAATTAAAATAGGATATCATAGGAGGAGCAGATATTTGGCATCGCTAGAAGCACATATCATAATCAAATACTCTTAATATTTATCTAACTCAAAGATAGAAAAGATTAAAGTCTGCCCAAATACAAAATGGCTAAATAATGTTCTTATTCAATCTAGTTCTAAATTATTGATCAATTGCAATATTCATCTCCAAGAACTGAAAAAAAGCTCAAAAGAGATGATGGGTTTATCCCATAAAAGCTACCTGTTGAAATTTCTTCAATTAAAATGAGCCGTATAGAATGCCGCCGATAAATGATATAGCGACGAAAAAGAAAAATGATTCATCAGTAAGGCCGATAACGCATAGGCCGCCTGAACCTTGGAGCTTTTCTGGATGGAAATGAAAAAAACAATCAATATGAAATATTACAGGGATGCCAGCTTATCATTGTCATATATTTCAAAGCAGTATGCTGTAGGAAAATAACAATGGTTAGCTAATAATAAAGTGCTCATTTGATAAGAAAATTTATTCAGAAGACCATACAGATGAGTACTTAACTAAAACGCCATCATAATATAACATTATTTTAGTCCAACTTGGCGAAACTATATCACCTAAGAAAGACTTATGGTAGCACAATGTTTCAAAGTAGAAAAGATAAAAGCAATAATTCTCAATTCTCTTCTAAGATATGTCTTGACAAGTCACCTCATCAAGCAAGAGGATTGTCCTTCGATTCCTGGATAGCCTTGATTCTAACTCAAAGAAAAGCACTAAAAGAAAACTATAAACAAATCTGTCAATAGTTTTAGAGCTTATTTGGGATCACCTTTGTTTTTTTATTTTTTTTTTGTTTTTGATTTTGTTTTTGCTTTTGCTTTTTTCTTAAAACATACTTGTTTAGTGCATGTTTTAATTTTTAGTTTTCAAGAACAATTAGTTAGTTTTTAAAAATACTCAAAACATCTAAAAGTTATTTTGAGTACTTTTAAAAAATAACTAAACATATTACAACATACCAAACATACTTTATTTCAAATAAAAACATTAAAAAAAAAGGAAACTAAAAATAATAATAAGAAAAAAATTAAAAGTGATCCCAATCGATTCAGTAGTTTTGAATCTAAGCTTGATGTTGGAAAATAGCCTAGGTACGAATCGATAAAATGGCTGAACACAACTGATAAACAAAGGGTAATCCAATGCCTAAGCTCATTTAATATTTGAACTCAACATGAACAAAGCCAGCACAATGTCTACTTTTATAAAAGATTCGAGTATATATGCCTAAGTTCTACCTTCTTTTCTCATTTCCTAAGTAAGGCTAGACACAGCTCCATCTCAAATTATCATCAAAACAAAGTACCTCCCATCTTTTTCATCAGCTATTGGAGTAAATGCGGGAGATTAGTATAAGGAGCGCATATAAAATCATATTCTCAAAATATAGCCCCATCTCATTTCCTCCAATATCCATGTCTTATAATTCCACAATCTGCTAAGGACACACAAGTAGAGGATATGCAGCTGACCGTCTCAAGTGATGTAAGCCTTTTCAACAATTAACTTGTTAATACACTATAGTAAGTGTGATGATAATATCATATATGATGTATTATTTAAATAAAATATGATTAACTATAATTTATTTAATTAAATATTTAGCATTTATAATTTAACATTTATATGCATATTAATTTAACGCAATTCATTCTTTCTTCTTTATTTTAATAAATTAATTTGTTAGTGCTCATTCATATTATTTGATTGCAAGAAAATTTACTTATAATTTGTATAATTTCTTATATAATTGATATAAATTAATTTGATACTAATTCAAAATTTTATTTGATTGCTTATTTGTTTAGATTAATAAAATCAATTGATCACAAGTATTAATTTAAATTAATTTAAATTTTTAGCATGTTTATTAATTCATTAAATTACTTATTGAATTAATTTGAACAAGTGAAGTTAAAAGTCAAGTATGATTATGCATCATCAAACCAAGCCAATTATGAATATATATATTTAAAAGATTAGCTCAAGTT